CGGAATGGCACGGGGTGGCACGGAGTTGCACAGAGCGACGCGTCATGTTTACGTTACGCGTAGTTACCGCGCAGTTATTCTCTTACCGAGATTCATACAAGCAGGTAGTCGTGTCGCGTGCGGCTCTTTTTCACATTTTTTGAAATCTTATCGCGAAGAATATCAAATATACTGCGAAATGTTGTACTTTATGAATAATCATAATACTAGTCATCGTATTATGTGAATATTCATAAAACACATTTCGTATTATATCTAACATTTTTTGCAATTATTATATGTTTCAAAAAGAAATGTGAAGAAGAATGGCACGTGATACGGCTACTTGTCTGTACGAATGGTATTACACGAGTTATAAAAAAGCAATGTTAGTATGAATACTCTCATGCAAATAACGCAATTCCTGCTTTCACAATTTATATAGTTTGATAATTTAATTAATTTTTTGTTTTTGTTTGCACTTTTCGTTATACGATCCGTTTAAAAATTAAATGTAACTTTGAAACTATTCATCGATAATAAAAGAAACGTTTCTCTTTTTTATTAATCTCTAGCTCATTTTATTAACTCTAATCATATCTTACAGACATCCAAAACTATTATATGTATATTTTACAGACATTCTAAAAGTTAATCGATTGCATAATAATTGCGTAGTAATATAGATAATAGCTACATATATTACATTTTTTAGATTATCTTCCTCACAGGAGATCTTGACGTGGTGGGAGGAGGGAGGTTCAGTATCTCAGAGGATATTTACATGAAAAGAATGGTTTTTTCAAGTATCTAAAAATTTTCGGATCTATCTGAATGATATTTCTAGATAAATTTGTAGATACTTGAGTAAAATCGTTTTTTTCGTTTAAAAATCCAAGAATGGGGAAGCTAACGTACCTTCGTCGCCGATTTATTTGAAAATAAACGAATCGCAGCCGGTTCGTCGCATCGCGCATTTGCATCGGGAGTGCCGTTTAAGTTATCGGACCCAAGTTATAGTCCGCGCGCGATTATAGTGTATTATTCACGAGTGTTTTACGCGAGTGTCCTGTGCGAGAGGATGTCAACTCTATTCTAAGAGGAGGAGGAAATCTGGGAGAGACATCAGGCACCGGTGGAGCAACCTTGCGGTATATATTATTTTTTACTTATGTGTATTTCACATGTCTGTATCTTTCTTCTTTTAAATTTATTCTTCAATAGTTTAATTTTAATAATTTAAAATTGATAATTAGAACATAAAAGGATTATTTTAAAATTATTTTGAAACTTTATGAATCTGTATTTTTAAGAAAATAATATTTAAATTATTAAGAAAATTATTTTTAAATTGTATAATTATTTTTATCGATATAACTGAATGGTGAATTATAAAAAATTCAATGCATATATAT